TGCACTGGGAAGGGCGTCCGCTGCGTAAAACATATGCTGGATAAGTTGTCGGTTCATTCCGCTGTGGCGACATCAGATTAATAAAGGGACTAAGCCGAAAAGAAAATGAATGAAAATATTCTCAGTATTTTGAAAAAAAGCTCAAAGGGCATCAATAGTTGTGAGAATCCTGACACACAGCGTTCTCTCACACACACACACTGATTTGTTTAGTCCTCCAGCAGTGCTGAATTTGCCTGTTGATGAGTTGCCTGAGCGAGCCTCATTATAACATGCAAATTCAGCTCCAGGGGGCCAATCAGAAGCCTGCATTCTGGTGTATAGCTGTTACTCATTGATGTTGAGTGTATAAAAGTGTGTGTGCTTGACTGTCTGAGTTAAAGCGAGATCCAGAAATCACTCAATTCAATTCACCTTCATTTGTGTAGCGCTGTACCTAAATCATCATGCCGTTCTCTGGGAAGTTTGAGTTGGAGAAATACGAGGGTTGGGAGGAGTTCATGACGGCCATCGGTGAGTCCAGAAATCCAAATTAATTGAGTCTGAATAGAATAATAAGAGTCATGCTTTAAGAGAAGGGTTCATTAGTTAATGTATTTGGAACTAATAATGAAGGATACTTGTGCAGCATTTATTAATCATAGTGAAATATTTACTAAAGCATTATTAACATCCGAATTCATGCTTTTTAACTTAGGTAATGCACTGTGAACTAACAATGGACAGCTGTATGTTCATTACTAATGTTAATGCAAATGCATTAACTCAGTGGTTCTCAAACTTTTTTTCACCAAGTACCACCTCTGAAAAAAATGTCTCTCCAACTTCCACCACAATGACTGGTATTGAAATATATAGTGGGCGACGCAGTGGCGCAGTAGGCAGTGCTGTCGCCTTACAATAAGAAGGTCGCTGGGTCGCTGGTTCAAACCTCGGCTTGACTCAACTCAGTTGGCGTTTCTATATGAAGTTTGCATGTTCTCCCTGTGTTGGCATGGGTTTCCTCCGGGTGGTCCGGTTTCCCCCACAGTCCAAAGACATGCGGTACAGGTGAATTGGGTAGGCTAAATTGTCCGAGTGTGTGTGAATGAGTGTGTGGATGTTTCCCAGAGATGGGTTGCGGCTGGAAGGGCAAATGTGCTGGATAAGTTGGCGGTTCATTTCACTGTGGCGACCCCGGATTAATAAAGGGACTAAGCCGTCAAGAAAATTAATGAATGAATTAGGCGTAAATAAGCGGCTTCAGCTCTGCACAGTTCACAAACGTGGCAGGTAAAATCTTATTATTATGAAAATGTATTATTGTCAGCCACTTTAAACATAATGAATAGTTTGAACAATATAAAAAATACAGATAAATAAAACGTCAACGTTTAAATTGAAACGTGATTTTAAAAATTAATTAAAAATGGCACTGCTTTTAAATTGTTTAAAGAAAACTTCTGTACTCAATTGTAAAGTATTATCATGAATAATAATAGTGGCCAGCCCAGGTTGGTCCCACACCTATTCATCAAAACCTGCAAATGTTTCTTGGGCCTCATAAATATAGGTTATATACATATTTGATCAATTTTAAAACTCATTCATTCATTTTCTTTTCGGCTTAGTCTCTTTATTAACCCAGGGTCACCACAGCGGAATGAACCGCCAACTTATCCAGCAAGTTTTTACGCAGTGGATGCCCTTCCAGCCGCAACCCATCTCTGGAAATCATCCACACACACATACTACGGACAATTTAGCCTACCCAATTCACCATGTGTTTGGACTGTGGGGGAAACCGGAGCACCCGGAGGAAACCCACTCAAAGGCAGGGAGAACATGCAAACTCCACACAGAAACGCCAACTGAGCCGAGGTTCAAACCAGCGACCTTCTTGCTGTGAGGCGACAGCACTACCTACTGCGCCACTGCCTCGCCTCAATTTTGAAATATATGTTGCATGTATGACTTATTTGTATATCTTTGAAAGGTAAACGTTAACTTTTTATTGTATTTTAAATATATGAAGGGGATTTACATATTTAAATTAGGAACTAGATCTGCTACATGTGTCAGAGAAGCAAGTGATTAAACAATACCTGTCAACATTGGGATAAAAATTTACGAAATATGGGGAGGAAAATAACCTCAAATGATGGAATACAAACATTAGAAAAATTAAAATAACATAAAAATTTTAGCCTATTAAAATCAAAAGTGTGTTTTTTTTTTTGAGAACCACTGCTAATGCATAATTAATAATAATAATAATGCCATTTTGTAATATGACCAAATTAAGTTAATTGAATTTATTAAGAGAAAACTAGATTTGTTTCTGACTGATTTGGCAGATAATTTTCTCATTTAATTTTATTTTATCGAGCAAACTTACTTAGGTTTTTGCTGTGAGGCCACAGTGCTAACCACTGAGCCACCGTGCCGCTGAAATTATTATGTTATTTTATTAAAACATGTTTTATGCGCTGCATTTCTAAAGATGTGAGGATTGTTTCAGGTCATCAAGAGCTGCTCAAGAAAGCCAATGATGGGAAAACCCAGTTTGAGATCCAGGAGAACGGAAACGATTATTGTCTGACCACCAGAAGTGGAGGAAAAGTGCTGAACAACAGCTTCACCATCGGGCAGGACACTGAGATCCAGATGCTGAGCGGAGACAAAGTCAAGGTGAAAGGGCGCCTATTATCACTTTAATAAGGGGTTTAAGCCCAGATTATAGAAATCAGTCAAGTTTGGTGAAGGAGAAATCATGGATTGGGGTCTACATTCAGTATGGGGGTGTGCGAGAGATCTGCAGAGTGGATGATCAACATCAACAGTCTGAGGTATCAAGACATCTGTGCTGCCCATTACATTACAAACCACAGGAGAGGGACAATTCTCCAGCAGGATAGCGCTCCTTCTCATACTTCACCCTCCACATCAAAGCTCCTGAAAGCAGAGAGTGCTACAGGATTGGCCAGCCCAGTCACCAGGCATCAACATTATTAAGCTGATGAAGGAGGAGGCGTTGAAGATGAACACAAAGACTCTTGATGAACTCTGGGAGTCCTGCAGGAAGGCTTTGCTGTATAACTTAATCAATAAAACAGTACAATTTCTTATGCCTGAATGCTTTTAAAATCCTCATACACTCACAGGCCTCAAAAACACATGCAACTGATGTATTATAATCCAGACTCAACATTGCATATGTGACGGTGGCCAGCTAGTACGTGCTGTGCAGGTAAACCTCACTCCTCTGACCTCTAAAGGTGCTCTAGCGACAGATGCTAGAGGCCATGGTCTTTAGCCTCCTTGCAGAGCAGCTGACTCCCATGCGGAAGGTCGCCAGTTCGATACCAGCTCGGAGCGGGTTGGGTGGCGTAGAACCGGCGGGGTTACACATATCACATTGCAATATATCAATGCTGAAACCATATCAATATGTTGACACCATATACCGTGCAGCTCGAATGTGAACACTAATACTTCTGCTGTGTTTCAGACTGTGGTGCACAAAGACGGACAGAAGCTGAAGGCAGCGCTGGGCAACATCACTTTAACCTGGGAGCTGCTGGATGAAAACACACTGCTCATCGTCAGTCTAACGCCAGCATTTATCTTCATGTATTTATTGTGTTTGTGTATAAATAAGCTGATGTGTGCTGCTGATGCTGTGTTCCAGACTCTGAGCACCGCAGACAACGTCGCCTACAAGCGCTTCAGCAAACGTGTGGCGTAAACAGAGGGGAAAGCACACACACCAGAGAGAAAATGAGAAGACGAATGCTGATAAAGTCTGAAGTCTTGATTTCTCCTGAGAAAAATACAGAAATAAACTTACAAAGAAAATAAAAACCCTCATCTGCTGTTGTTGTTATTATCTAGAATTGACAGCAAAAACATAAAATATGACATAAAACACATAAACATATATATTTATATTTTGAGCTTATTTGAGCTCAATTAAATCTGATCATGCCTTGATTATTAATGATTTCATTAGGGCAGTAAGGTCTGACTCTGCTCTGGTCACTGAACAGAAATAATGTCCAGTATAGAATATAAAGTCCTGCTGCAGTGGAGACAGAATGAATATTGTGTCTGACTCCATCATGAGCTTGGAGGACTGCATCCATACATCTCTGCACTGACTCCCAGAATTCATCAAGAGTCTTTGTGTTCATCTTCAACGCCTCCTCCTTCATCTTAGCTCAATAATGTTGATGTCTGGTGACTGTGCTGGCCAATCCTGGAGCACTCTCTGCTTTCAGGAGGTTTGATGTGGAGGCTGAAGTATGAGAAGGAGCGCTATCCTGCTGGAGAATCGTCCCTCTCCTGTGGTTTGTAATGTAATGGGCAGCACAGATGTCTTGATACCTCAGGCTGTTGATGTTGATCATCCACTCTGCAGATCTCTCGCACGCCCCCATACTGAATGACCCCAAACCATGATGTCTCCTTCACCAAACTTGACTGATGTCTGAGAGAATCGTGGTCCATGCTGGTTCCAGTAGGTCTTCTGCAGTGTTGGTGATGATTGGGATGCAGATCAACAGATGATTCAGCAGAGAAATCCACCTTCTGACACTTTTACACATCATCAACTAGAAGTCCAGTTATTATCTGCTGCTACAACTGAGATCAACAACAAGACTTTTGTCAGGTAGTGCATATCTGCCTCAAAATCTAAAGAGTGATCAGTCTAAGAAGTAAAATATCAGTGCATTACAATTAAAAATACAACTTAATTAATTTAAGCAAAGAGAAAACTCGCTTTAGGCTAAATTTAAATGTCAAAAAAAATAAAAACACTTTTATTTTTTGGCTAGTTGTCAAGGCATATTTCAAATATTCAATCAGTTTGACTTTATTCATTCATTAATCATTCATTGTCCTTCAGATTAGTCCCTATATTCATTAGGAGTTGCCACAGCGGAATTAACCGCCAACTATTCCAGCATATGTTTTGCACAGTGGATGCCCTTTCAGCTGCAACCCAGTACTGGGAAACACCCATACACACTCATTCACATACACACTCATAGACTACGGCCAATTTAGTTCATCAATTCCCCTATAGTGCATGTGTTTGGACTGTGGGGGAAACCGGAGCACCCGGAGGAAACCCACAACAACATGGGGAGAACATGCAAACTCCACACAGAAACACCAACTGACCATCAGTTTAACTTGAAGTACAAAAATAACAAAAAAACTATTATTAATTACTAATATAAATATATATATAATTACTATAAATGTATAATTACTATTATTAATATAAATTTGATTATATATTGTAGATTCATTCATTCATTCATTTTCTTGTCGGCTTAGTCCCTTTATTAATCCGGGGTCGCCACAGCGGAATGAACCGCCAACTTATCCAGCAAGTTTTTACGCACCGGATGCCCTTCCAGCCGCAACCCATCTCTGGGAAACATCCACACACACACTCACACACACACACACACACACACACACTCATACACTACGGACAATTTAGCCTACCCAATTCACCTATAGCGCATGTGTTTGGACTGTGGGGGAAACCGGAGCACCCGGTGGAAACCCACGCGAAGGCAGGGAGAACATGCAAACTCCACACAGAAACGCCAACTGAGCCGAGGTTCAAACCAGCGACCTTCTTGCTGTGAGGCGACAGCACTATCTACTGCCTCACTGCCTCGTCCTTATTGTAGACACATCAACACATCAAATTAACCCATTATTGCACCAAAAGATCAACAGAAATGTGCAGATAAAACAATGAAAAGGAAAAGAAAAAACACAAAACGGAATATTTTAAATTCATAAATCTTTAATTACAAAAAAGAAAAAGAAAATAAAAACAACACTCAAAAACAAGCTACAAAAAACCTAAAACACATTCATCAATCCTGAAAACGGCAGATATAATATAATATAATATAATATAATATAATATAATATAATATAAAATAGCCGTTTGTAAATGAATAACAGAAGTGTCTAATAATAAACACGTAACTATGTGTGTGTGTAGCGTTGACCTGAGCGTGTCTGTCACTGTGGACAGGAAGTTGTGTGATGTCACTTCCTGCGGAACAGGTTCTTGATGCCCTCATTGGTTGGCTCCGCCATCATCCTCATTGGCTGGTTTTTGAGCGCCGCTTCGCGCATCGAGTGATAAACGTATTCGTTCTGCTGGAACATGCGCAGCTCCATCTCCGTCTGCATGCGCATGGCCTGATGGAGGAAAAACACACGTTTAGACTCGAGCGCAATTTACAGAGACATCAGTGTTGATTTCGGCAATTTAGAAAAATGTGCATTCATTTTTGTAACATGACTGAATGCGTGCTGATACGCTCATCTAATGCTTAAACAGAGGATAAAAGTCACATTCGAAAAAAATTGCATAAAAAACAAAACTTATTTTAAAATATGGTTATTTGAATTTAGCTATTTTTTAGTGTATATAAAGAATCTAGCGAGGCACAATTTAAGACAATTAATGCTATGCAGGGGATAAAAACAACCCAGGCTCATTTATTAATACCACTGTACACATTTCTGGAAAGCGTCCAATACATCGCAGGAGGTACGTTTTTTTTTTACAGTCTTTGTTTTTGCAAATTCACCCAGGGGTGCTGTGTACGCTTTTACAGATCTCAAATTTCTCTCGCAATTGCCAATCTTGCTTGCTAACAGCGTCTAAAACGTCGCAAGAGGTGCGCTTTTTTAATTGTTTGTTTTTACGAATCCACCCGGGGGCGCTGTGTTCGCTTTTACAGATCTCAAATTTCTCTCGCAGTTACCATTCTCACCTGCTGACAGTGTCAAATACGTCCCAGGAGGTAGGTTTTTTTTTTTTTTTTTTTTTTTTTACAGTCTTCGTTTTTGCGAATTCACCAGAGGCCGCTGTGTACGCTTTTACAGATCTCAATTTTTTTTTGCAATTACCATTCTCGCCAGGCCCGGATTGGCTAATCAGGAGGACCGGAAGAATTCCCTGTTTTTTGGCCGCGAGGGCCAGCAGTCGCACTTCTTTTCATCTATTTATTTATTTGACCATAGCTTCACTCTTTGTATCCATTATTTTGCCGCAGCGCCGCTCTTCTTATTTATTTTCTTGCAGCCCCGTGAGCAAAATGCAGACTGCAGGTTAACTAACGTTAATGATGATGTAACCTTAACTATTATTCGACCCCAAACAGCGGCACCTTAGTGAATATAAGAATTTGAATAATTAATATTAATGAATAATACACCTGCTAATCAGATGATTCACTACATTAATAAATCTGAATCTGAAATGACTTGATCAGATATCTAAAAAGGGGAGAGAAAGATTATGCCATCAATAGAAAGTAATACCGTGTCTTGCGGGTCACAGAGCAAAACTTATTTTTTATTCCTTATTGTAATAGTGCCATTGTGGACCAGTGGTAAGCATGTTGTGTTTTGACGCCGCCGACCCATGTTCGAATCTCACCTGGAAGATTATTATTATTATTATTATCATTTTATTTTTTATTTTTTCATTTTTATTGTTGCGATACAGTATAATACTGTTAGGGCTGTTGAACATTTGAATTTCTAAAACAGCTGTTTTTTTTTAAAAGACGTGATAGTGTCATTAGAAACTGAATTGGAAATTACCTTATTTTAATATAGTCGGTTGAGAGGTGGGCCGAGAATGAGTCCCACTCCGGCCCTGATTCTCGCCTTCCGAGAGTGTCAATTACGTTGCAGGAGAAACGTTTTTTTTTTACAGTCTTCGTTTTTGCAAATTCACCCGGGGGCGCTGTGTATGCTTTTACAAATCTCAAATTTCTCTCGCAATTGCCAATCTTGCTTGCTAACAGCGTCTAAAACGTCGCAAGAGGTACGCTTTTTTAATTGTTTGTTTTTACGAATCCACCCAGGGGCGCTGTGTTCGCTTTTACAGATCTCAAATTTCTCTCGCAATTACCATTCTCACCTGCTGACAGTGTCAAATACGTTTGTTTTTTTTACAATCTTCTTTTTTGCGAATTCGCCAAAGGGCCGCTGTGTACGCTTTTACAGATCTCAAATTTTTCTCGCAATTACCATTCTCGCCTACCGAGAGCACCAATTATGTTGCAGGAGGCACGTTTTTTTTACAGTCTTCGTTTTTGCAAATCCACCAGAGGCCATTGTGTTCGCTTTTACAGATCTCTAATTTCTTTCGTAATTACCATTCTTGCCTGCTATCAGCATCAAATACGTCTCATGAGGTCCGTTTTTTTACAGTCTTCGTTTTTGCGAATTCACCAGAGGCCGCTGCGTATTGGTTTAACAGATCTCTAATTTCTCTCGCAATTGCCAATCTCACCTGCTGACAGCATCAAATACGTTGCAGGAGGTACGCTTTTTTTAGTGTTTGTTTTTGCGAATCCACCCGGGCCGCTGTGTACACTTTTTTTTTAGATCTCAAATTTCTCTCGCAATTGCCATTCTCACCTGTTGACAGCGTCAAATACGTCCCAGGAGCTACGCTTTTTTTTTTTTTTTTTTTTTTAAGTTTTTGTTTTTGTGAATCCACCAGGCGGCGCCGTCTATGCTTTTTAAGTTCTCACTTAAATCCACCAGAGGCCACTGTCGGCTGGCTGACTGACTGAACTTCCCACCTTCTTCCCTAAACCCAACCAATAGTGTTTTAAGAGGCAAACCAGATAAAGAAAAGCCCTTGCGCAGGCTGATTTTCACCACGTTTTCAGATCTTACCACGTTCTCACCCTGTTATTTCATTCATTCATTTTCTTTTCGGCTTAGTCCCTTTATTAATCTGGGGTCACCACAGCGGAATGAACCACCAACTTATCCAGCATATGTTTTACGCAGCGGAT